GGCCAGCAGGGCCGGCGCGCCGATTAAGGAGAAGCTGGGAGACGAAGCCTACGCCCCAGCGCGGGGCGACCCGCCGCCGACCCCAGCACGACGCCACGAGGGCACCTGGCCAAGGGCGCACACCACCCGTCACCCCGAACTCTGCTTCCCCGGAGGCGGGGCGTTCTGGACGTCAACCACCAGCCCTCGGTCCCCTGTGCTGCTCCACCTTCCCGCGCCACTGCCTTCTGCTGGGAAGGGCACGAGTTCAAGAACGACCGGGACCGTGCCCGACTCGCCCGGAATGTGCTTCATATTAACGCGAGAGGAGGGCGCGCCAACTCCGAATCTCTGGGAAGAACGGGAACCGCTTCGTAACCAGGTCGTCGCCCAGGTTCCCCGGCGAGCAGGCGGGAACCCCTTCCCCGCAGCGCCCTCCGGCGGCGAGGGCGCCCTGTCACCGCCCCATTAGATCGCGACGAGCCGCCAACGGCCCGGGTGGAGGAGTCAGAGAAGCAGAGGGGACAACAGCACGGAACCCTGGCTCCGAGGCCCCGGGAGGAAACCCAAGCGCCCTGGAAGAGCTTCTCCTCAGGGCAGTTGGCCCTCCGTCCAGGAAGGCCCGGCCCTTCCCGGCCCGGGCAGAAACCGGGGCCGCAAATCGTTCCGTGGGGGTTGGGACGCCAGAAACCGAGGGCGGTCACAGTCAGGGAGGGGAGCCGGGCCATCGCGGAGAAAGCCAAGGCGCGGGAGGAAGGGGCCGGGCCGCGGGCCGCCTCCCCACAGGCCGAGGCCGGTAAATCTGCTGCCTCATCCCGGCGCCCCACTCCCGCCCGGCCACCGCCACTCACGATGCTCTCGGCCATGGCGGCCGCCGCTCCTCCCTCCGGGCTCGAGCCCCGGGCCGCCGCCACCTGCCGCCCCGAAGGCCTCGCAGCCCCAGCCCCGGCCTCAGCCCTGGCCCCGGCCTCCCTCCGCCGCCGCCACCACCGCTCCAGCTTCGCCCGCCGGGTCTCCACCAGCGCAGACGTCCGGGTGCCTCGCTCAACTCGCTCCGCCGGGCACGCAGCCCCGCAAACAAGGTTCCGGGTCACCAACGGCTCGCACATGCGCAGTGTGGGCCCGGGCCGGCGGGCGGGGCGGGGCGGGGCGGGGCGGGGCCGTGCAGCCCCACCCCTCGCCCTGGCCACGCCCCGGTCCGCGAGGCCCGGTTTCCTGCAGCTCGCGGTATGACGTGCTATGAAGAGTGTTTCCGTAAGATTGTTTTTACTGACATATGCCATTGTTCTAGCCGTGCAGAATTGTCCAACGGAAAAGCAAAAACAAGCGTCGGAAATCTCACCCACAAATGTCCATGGGTGCGTTGACATTGAGCGAAAACAGCGTGGAACACGTGTGCTGCGTGCACATGGAGAGGAAAGATTGATGGAGGGTGAAACCACACCTTCATGCTGTTAAAAACGTGAAGCATTCTCCGCGAATGTGACGTAAGAAAAGCAAATGAATCCAGACAGCGTTTTAGATCAGTGTTGCTTCCCCAGGAGAGATGTTGCTGTTATTTACCATCCAGTGGGACCCGACTCATAGCGACCCTTCCTTGGGTTTCCGAGGTAGTATCACTACGGAAGTAGATTGCCCTACCTTGGTTCCAAGGAGTGGCTGTTGGGTTTGAACCACCAGTTTTCTGGTTAGCAGTCAAGTGCCTTAGGCACTATGCTACCAGAGCGCCTAATCTTTGTCTTACTATATAGTGTATAGTGTACTGTTTCTATGCATAAATAACATAAAAGAAACACTTCCAGATACATTATAACATCTTTAATGTAATACAGTAATAATAATGTTTTGATGCATATACGTTTGTTATGATGAACCTTTGTATGTATCTTGAATTTTTAACGTAATAGGCTTTACCGGGGTTAGTTCGTATCTATGGGTTGTAAATAGATTTCCGTAACCCGGGAACTGCATTTATATAACTTTTTTGATACAGAGGCCAGTGGAAATACTGATAGAATCTATAGAAATAGGAGAGATGTAACATCCTAAAATAGAACTCTAACCAGTCCTGGTTTCTGGGCTCCTGACCTGGCCTGCTCAGAACAGCCTGGCTCGATTTCATGCTGTGCTGTTACCATCTTGAAATTCTTAATTTCTGAACATTTTCATTTTGCACCTACCAGCTGATCTTGCCCATAACTGTGGCAAAAATTAAAAAAATAAAAATTCTGAAAGCTTGTTTGCCAGTGTTCATTGTCGCACTGTACACAACAGCCAAAAGATGGAGACAACCCAAGAATCCTTCAAGAAGTGAGTGGATAAACAGAATGTGGTCTATCCACACCATGGAATATCACTCAGCCATAAAGATAAATGAAGTCCTGATACGTGTCACACATGGATGAACCTTGAAAACATTATACCAAGTGAAATAAACCATACACAAAATGGAAAATATTGTAGGATCCCATTTAAAGAAGTATCTGGAAGAGGCAAATGTTAGAGACCAAAAATTATTAGTGGTCACCTGGGGTGGGAGGGAGGGGGGTCTGGGTTTAGGGGGCAGAGTTTCTGTTAATGATGGTGGACTCATTTGGAAAGGGAGAGTGCTGAGGGCAGTACAATAGGATGAACTGAACCAACGGGACTGAACATGTGAAAAAATGTTGAACTGGCAAATGCTTTGTTATGTATATTTTTACCACAACAAAACAATTCTTAAAAAATTATGAAAACCTGTAAGAGGCTACAACCATATATTTAACCCATGGTTCAACTTCAGATGGTCTCCATCACTGAAAAAGTGAGGAATTGATGACCATCACTTCCTCTCCTCCCCTCGCGGCTTCATTTCTCTCCTGTTAACAAAGTCGGTGCTCAAGATACATTCTGTCCTGTGGCAGGTAGTTCTTTGAAGGCTTAGTTATGCCTTCAACAGCCATTTTCTAGTGGCCTGCTCTGTGCTCCACGTGGCCCTGACACTGGGGATATAGCAGTGTAATCCCTGCCCTGGTGGTGGTGACCAGCAGGGTCAGATTCTAAAGAGATCAGCAATAAACTTTCAGTGTCCCTTAGCGGTCAGTGCTATGCAGGCCACCGAAGCAGAATGGGATGAAGGCTATTTTAAATAAAATGATCAGGAAAGACCTCTGAGAGGTGAGGGTTGAGGGCCAGATGAAGGCTCTATCCAGGCATCGAATGGGCGCCTAGCACGTGCAAAGGTCCAGGGTGCAAGACCTGTCTGGGTGCTCCAGGAACAACAAAGCTGCCAAAGTGGCTGTGGGGAAATGAGTGAGGGGAGGGGAGGATGGGGCCGGAAGGAGCTCGGTGAACACAGCCGTAGGGCAGGATTCTTCTGGAGGCTAAATGGAGGATAGACAATGGGGGGCAAGGACAAGAGAAGCAGGGAGACCTCTTAGGCTGCCAATGGAAGGGTCCAGAGAACAGAAGATGGTGGCAGGAAAGGTTGAGAGGTGGATGGTTCCAGACCAAAAGTGGGAGAAAAGATGACCGGACTGGCTGACGGGCCAGGCGTCCGGGGGGGAGGTGACCGGGCCAGCTGATGGGCCAGGCGTCCGGGGGGAGGTGACCGGGCCTGCTGACGGGCTGGTTGTACACCAGAAACAGGGCACAGCCACAGTTTCGGGACGCAGGGGCAGAGATTGAGCAGTTCCACAAGATGGGGAGCCAGTGGTGGAGTTCTTCACTCGGGGGGAGGGCTTCAAAATGAGGGGCGTGTTTTCTGCAATGCTTTGTCATGACCCAGTCTTGCCACAGCACAGAGTGATTCTTGCTGCACGCTTTGAGTAAGGGTATCGCCCATCTCCAGTTTCTGACCTGCACAGCTTGTCCCATTACTGCTACTTCACTGAAGGTTTTTTCCGCTCAGCAGATAAAGGTGCTGGCTCTCGAAGCCATCTTTCTTGTCTCTGTCAGCTTCCGGTGGTGTTGGATGCTGTCGAGTCAGCCAGCTCACAGGGACCCCGTGTGGTGGAGAACTGCCTGATGGGGATTGCTAGGCTGTAGGCTTTACAGAAGTAGGTCGCCAGGTCGCTCTCCTGAGGAGCCTCCAAGTGGGTCGAACTGCTGACCTGTCGGTTAGCAGCTGAGTACTTAAACACTGTGCTGCCAGAGCTCCTTGTAGCTGCCTGCAGTCAGTCCTTAGCATTCCTGGGCTTGTAGGTCCACCTGTGTGCGTTGTAGTGCCCATCCTGCCAACGTGCGTGTGTGCGTGTGTGATTCCCCAGTTGTGCACATGTGAATCTATCTGTCGTCCCCCGTTATGCATGCACATGTGCGACTGCACAAGTGTCTGTCATTCCCCCATTGTGTGTGCACGTGCACATGTGTGTCCTCCATCGTGCGTGTGCATGTCTGTCATCCCTTTTGTGCACGTGTGCCCGTGGGCCTGTCGGTCCGCGTTGTGCGTGTGCACGTGTGCCTGCACATGTCTGTTCTGCATGCACATGTGCATGTGCCCATGTGTGTCTGTTATCCCTCGTCGCACATGTGCGTGTGTCTATTCTGGTCTTTGTCTCACTCAGAAGTGATTAACTCTAGGATCCACCCAAGTCCATGTGGCCTTGTTAATGTAACAAAAGAACTTCCCCATTTCCAAACAAGGCCATGCTCACAGGAACAGGGCTGGGACTCCCAGATTTCTTTGGAGGGACACAGTTCCACCCATAACACTGACAGCAAAGCAGGTTCCCCAGCTGGGCCCGGCAGGGGTCCGTGAGGCAGGGGTCCGTGAGGCAGGGGTCCGTGAGGCCAGCTCCCAAGCACCTTGGGCACTGGGATTGGGCAGAGGCCGGGTGCCCTTAGAGCCCACGTGAAGTGACCAATAGAAAATAAAGACCACTGGCGTCTCCATAGGCCAAGTCTGCCTTAAGCCCCAGAGCGTGACTCCTCACATGAGCCACCTGTGACTGCTGCATCTGGCTGAGGCACTGTTGTCAGCCAGAGAAGCAAGGGGCCTGGCTTTCTTCTCTCGGGCCCAGGGCTCTCCCTTTGAGCGGAGGATGCAGGAAGGGGAAAGGAGCCCCTTGCTCGGCCAGGTGAGCTGCGTCTGTCCTGCGGAGGCCCTGGTCCTCGCCCACCCCAGCCCGGGCCTTTGTGCAGCGGGCCTGTCCTGAGGTGGGACATCCTTGGAGGAGATGCTAAGGTTGGGGTGGGCCTTATCAATGGGCGCAGTAACTCACCCTGCCCAGTGACCCTGGCCTTGCCCTTGGGGTGTGATGTGGCGGGAAGATGCATCCCTGCCGGAGACAGGCAGTCAGGGTTCCCTGGTGCCATCCCTGGTGCCCTCCGCCTGTGATAGCCCCTTGGCCTTTTCACCCAGCCTGTCTCCTCCTTAAGGCAGGAGTCAAACGGGCAGGCAGCCTTGCCAAGAGGGGGGCCAGCACTTTCTAGATTCTCCCCAAGTCAGACTTGCTCAATGGCAGAACTGGATAACAGCCTGTCTCTCCAGCTGAGGCAGGCAGGCAGGAGCAGGCAAGGCCAGGTGGGGCAGGCGGGTGGGGCTAGGCTGTTCCCCCCCCTCTCCGCATAGAGGGACCCCCTCTTCACCCCCAGAAGGCCTGTAGATTTAATGTTGAGACTGTCCATTGGGGGCCCCTCCCTCAGGACACTTCCTTATTACAGCCCATGTGGCCAGCCCCAGGGCTTGGCTGGGGTCACACTAGAAGTTGAGGCAGGCGCCCCAATGAGGGTCTTGCATCCCGTGCACCTGGGTCCACAGTGCCTCTCACTGCCCTGGGTGTGTCATGGCAGGGCCCTGGCCCCTCCCTCTTGGCACCCACACTCACAGACTGGTTGTGGGAGCAGCCTGGCTCACCCCCACCTCTTCTCCTGGGTACAGAGGGCTCTCTGGTGACCCCAAAAAGCCAGGGGCTCAGACCCAGCCCAGCGGGACCAGCCTGATGGCCCTACACCCTTGGTAACCAGGCTCTCTGAGCCCACATCCCCTCCCCCTGCTCTCTCCACCCTCTCACCCTTTCTGATTGTCTCCATGTCCTAGGGCTGCTGTGACAAAGACCACCACAAGTGGGAAGCTGTAAAGGACAGGAAGTTACTGTCCCAGTTCTGGAGCTGAAAGTCCAGCCCATGGTCTCAGCCACATCCATTCCTTCAGGGATCTTTCTCCTAGTTTCTGGTGTCTGCTGGCATCCTTGGCATTCCTGGTCTGGCGTCTGTCCCCCCGTGTGCGTGTCTCTGTCATAACCCGGCATCTGTCCCTCCACGCATGTCCATGTCTGTTCTTTTCTCAGGAAGGACTAGGTTTAGGTCACCCTACTACACAACCTCATTAATGCGGCAATAGGAAACCTCATGTCTGCACACAGCCGTGCTTACCAGGACAGGGGGCAGGACATGCATTGCTTGGGGAGCACGATCCGATCCATGACCCCCAGGGGGTCACACAGGGGGCAGGACGTGCACTGCTGGGGGACACGACCCATGACCCCCAGGGGGTCACACTGCTGTACCTTCTTCCTCTGCAGGACACCATGGGGTTGAGGCCACGCCCCTCCACAGGCAGCCCACCCACTTCCAGCCGCCCATGTCCATCACCCATAAAGGACCTCTCAGGGGCCTGGGGCTGCAGCTGGTGTCCTCCAGGGGCCAAGCACTGGTCCCGGAACAGCTGTCTTCAGGGGAGCCCAGCCGCCTCCCTCTCCCCTGGGAGCACCTGTGCCAAGTACCTGACCCTGCTGTCCAACTTCCTCTTTTCCCTGCTGGGCCTACTGGGCCTGGCGGCTGGGCTCTGGGGCCTAGCCCTGAAGGGGCCTGTGGGGAGTGGCTGGGGGTGTGCCCTGCCCACAGACCCCATGCTGGGACTGGCTCTGGGAGGGCTGGGGGTCAGCGCGGTGAGCCTGGCCGGCTGCCTGGGTGCCCTGTGCGAGAGCCCCTGCCTGCTGCGCTGCTACTCTGCTGGTGTCCTGGCCTTCCTGGCACTCGAGGCAGTGGCGGGCACATTGGTGGTGGCCCTCTGGGGCCCACTGCAGGATGGCCTGGAGCACACCCTGCACGTGGCCATCACCCGCTACCAGGATGACCCGGACCTGTGCTTCCTCCTGGACCAGGTGCAACTTGGGCTGCAGTGCTGCGGGGCTACCTCCTACCAGGACTGGCAGCGGAGCCCGTGAGTCTGGGGGTAGGAGGGGGTAGAGAAGCAGAGGACAGGACACACAAGCACATGCACATGTGCTCACACAGAGAATGCTCACATACATGCTCACATGTTCATGTGCACACACATACATGCACATGTGCTCACAGCACACTGCCACATATACACACATCTCCCTAATCTCATACACTCATACGCTCATGCACACTCACATGGGCACACCCCCACTCACTAATCCCACATGCACTCATGCACACATGCGTGTGCTCACACTCATATGTACAGACATGCATATACCAGTGTGAGCTCACACATGCACTGAGTCACACACACACACTAAGATGCAGGCTTACTGCTCCCACCGTGACCCGCAGGCCACCCTGGAAGTCTTCGCCAGGACTACCCTTCAGCCCACCCTCTCCCACTCAGCTCTGTGGCTCAAAGCCTTTCTGCAGCCTCTACCCAGTGAGGCAGGCTGACTTCAGTCCCCATCAAAGGCTGGCTGTCCCTCAGCTTTCTCCTTAAATATCTCCCTTTATGCCAGGATGGCTGGCAAAGGTCGCCTGCATGTGCAGAGGTCTGCCATGCACAGGGATACATTCTAGAAAACTGGGTATCGTGTTCGTGTACCTGTATGGGTGTGTGTGCACACCTGGGTGCACGAGCACACTTGTGTGTGCATGCATGCACAGGTCTGTGCACACACGTTCCTGTGCACATGTGTTCCCGTGTGTGGCCATGGAAGTTTGAAGGCAGGAGGGAGACTCCAACAAAGCGCCAGGCCCCAGAGCAGTGTTTCCAGGACTGACGCCCAGCCCACCTGCGTTGCAGGTACTTCAACTGCAGCTCCCCAGGGATCCAGGCCTGCAGCCTCCCTGCCTCCTGCTGCAACGACCCTCTGGAAGATGGCGCCTCGGTCAACGCCCAGTGCGGCTCCGGGGCCCTGAGCCTGGGCCAGGCTGAAGCCGGGAGAGTGGTGCACCTGGAGGGCTGTGGGCCGCGCCTGCGGCGGTGGCTACGCCAGAGCGCCCGCTGCCTGGGCGTTGGCGCCATAGCAGTCGTGGTGGTCCAGGGCGCCGAGCTGCTGCTGGTCACGCAGCTGCTGAACGCCCTGGCAGGGCGCAAGGGCGTGGCAGAGGGCGCGGCCGGGCACTGGGCCAGCTGCTGACCCCACCTGACTGCACCTTCTGGTCCCCGGAGCCCGGGCAGGGGCCGTGAGCGGCTGGGCCACGACGAGGTCTCAGCTACAGGGCTCCTCTTCCGCCCAGGGAAGGTCTCGGGTACCTGATCCTGGGTGCTGTGGGAGTGCACCTCGGACACCTGAGCTCATGCACCTGCGTGCGCCCCTTTCCAGGGTCTCCTCCCAGGCCAGCCGCCACCGCCGCCTGCCCAGGTCTGTCACCCCTGTGGCCGTGCTCAGATGGACGCACGTGCCGCTGTCCACCTGCGCTCTGGCTTCTGGCGGCGTTTGCCCTCCATCCACCTATGTGCCCTGCTTGCCACCTGCCAACGCTGCCGCCAGCAAATTGCATGCCAACCCTGAGCCTCCCAAAGGTGCTGCCCAGCCAAGGTCTACCCCCCACAGGGAGTCAGGCAGAGCCCTCGGGGAGGAAGCAGGGCCCTCAAGCTTCCATCCCAAGGCCCCACCCACCTCCACCAATGCAACAGATCGCAGTTCTCTCCTGAAAGGAAGGGCAGAGCTCCAGGCGACTGTGGCCTGCCCTGGGGGGCCCAGCTGACACCCCTGTCCTGGGTCCATCTCCCCTTTGCAGTCCACTGTGGTGGGTGAGGGTGGGGCCCAGCCTCTCTATCAGAGTGCTGTTTTTGAGGGGACGAGTAAGTGTCTAAGCAGCTCCACCCACTTAATGTTGTGTGTGATGAATGGTCCCCTTGTAAACACTTATGGAACTGCCACCTGGTCAAGCCTGGCCCCCAGGCCACTAGTCCCCTTCCAGTGACTCCCCCATGGGAGCCCTGCTCTGGCCCCCCTTCCATCTGCATGGCCCAGGGCCCCTTTGGGGTGTTTAGTTGCTGCCTTGAACACTGACAATCATGGGGGTGATTTTATGGGTTTGTGTTTCCCCATAAGATATGTTGAAGTCCCAGACCAACCTCCTACTGGTACCTGTGCAGGTGACCTTGTTGGAAGTAGGGTCTTTGCAGATGTCACTAGTTAACAAGGAGGCTATACTGGACTAGGGGGCCTGGTCCAGAGACCAGCGTCCTTGGAAGAGGTGGAAAGACACAGATGCCAGGGAAGACGCCATGTGAAGGCAAGACAGAGATGGGAGTGATGTGGCCACAAGCCAAGAATGCTGGGGACTGCCCGAGTCCACCAGAGGCACCGGACGGGCCTCCCTGAGAGCAGACCCTGAATTCAGACCTGTGCCTCCAGAGCCGGACAGTACAGTTCTGTTCTCTCCAGCCTTCCACTTCGTGGACTTCATTACCGCGGCCCCGGCCCCAGGACACTACAAGAGGTCAAGGGTGGGCACCACACACAGAGCCTGCTCACGGTCATCGTATTTCCCTGTTCCACCCACACACACACATACCCAGAATCTTAGGCCCAAGGAAGCCCCACCTTCCCCATGACCTTTTCTGGCCCCCCACATGACCCATGACCCCTTTCCCTGCTCATGTTGATGGCGGCCACAGCGCTAACCCTTGGGGGGGTATAAGTGGGTCTGTGCACCTGGAACACACATATGGTCTGGTGATGGGGTCCCAGGTGGTCAAGGCTGAAGCTCAGACAGACTTGTGAGCCAAGGGGCCTCCCTCCTTCTCACCTGGCCAGTCCCTAGTGCCCCAGCGCCCAAGCCCTGTGCCTCGTCCATGAAGGTGAGCCCTGTGGGAGGACCCTACCCCTGGCCCTCCTGCAGCTCTGCTCCACGCAGGAACTCACCCCAGATGAGGAAGGACAGATCATTTTATTTCGAAACACACAGCTCCCAGAGGCCGTGCTAAAAGGATGCGTTCCCACTTGGGTGATGGGTGGTGGAAGGTCCTGGCTCGCTCTGATGCTCCAGGCTGCAGGCACCCCCTCCTCTGACACGCTGGCCCACATCCCCCCGGTGGGAAGAGCTGGGTGGGGGAGTGCCCTGGAGGCTGTCCCCACTGTCCAGACACAGGAGGGTGCGTCAGGGGTCTGGAGGCTCCTGGGCTGGGGCTGCCGGCCTCTCCTGAGCACGGCCTGGGGAAACCACCGCCCTCAATGGCAGGCCGAGGAGGGCCGGGGTGTCCTGGAGCTAGCAGGGACTGGGGGGGTCCTGAAGAAGCAAGTCAGGGTACTGGAGGCTGAAGCCTTGCTCAGGCCTCCGAGCACCTGGAGGGGGGCTCTCATCCACGGGATTCCTACACGGGCATCTGAGTGGGCAGCAGGGCAAGGCGGTGGGCTGGGGCCGGTACTAGATGATGCCGTACTGGGCCAGTTCGTGCAGCTCCAGGTGGTTGAAGGCCTCCCACGGGCAGATGACTGTGATGTCTGCGGCAGGACCAGGCGTCAGGAGGGCCCGTGGCCAGGGCCACTCCACCCCTCAGGGCCCTGATGTCCACAGCCCAAGTGGGGACCCACAATTTGCTATGGGTGAGGGGCCAGAGCCCTCCTCTGGGAGAGTGGTCATCAAGGGGGCTCTGTGCCGGGGAAGGGCCAGGTGGTGAGGGCACCCAGCTCTAGGTGACCCCATGGAAAGGGAGCAGCCGCCTTTCAGGGGCTTTGGATCTTGGTGCTGGGGGAAGAAACCGAGGGCAGCCCGGGGGATGTTCCCTAAGTGAGGCCCAGGATGGAGAGGGCACCAGGCCTGGAGGGCTGCAGGGGGACAGGCATGGCAGGGGGCAGAGAACCGGGCCAGCGTACCTGTCCCCAGGCCTTCCATGCCAGGGATGTCATCCCCAAACCTGCAAGGATACGGCGGTCAGAAAGGGCACCTGCCCCACCTGCCTGGCCCTGGCTCAGTGGCCCAAGGCCCAAGGTCAGGATGCTCCCAGAAGCCCGGGCACAAGGCTCTGTCTCTGCATCTCCTCCCAGCCTCTGGCTGCTTGGCCCAGTCCGGGGCACAGAGGGACTCTGCCCCTGCTGTCCAGAAAATGACAAGGCCAAAGGAAGGGGGGGGAAGAGCCATGTGTGCACAGCAGGTGCATGGGGAGGGCTATGGCTGGGACATGTGAGTGTGTGTGTGTACCTGTGAGTGTAGGTCTGTGAGAGCATGGGGGTCTGTGAGCACACTCCAGGGGGAGTGAGTGTGCAGACACAGGTGTATGCGTGTGTAGACACATATCAGTGCAGTGTGTATGTGTGTATACATGTTAGTGTAGGTGTGTAGACACGTTAGTATGTGTGTAGACACTTATCGGTGTATTATGTGCATGTGTAGATGTTAGAGTGTGGGTGTGTAGACACGTCAGGGTGCGCACATGTGTGTGCAGACACATTACTGTGTATGTAGACATGTTAGTGTATGCGTGTGCAGACACATATCAGTGTGTGTGCATGCGTGTAGATGTATTTAAATGTAGACATCTTAGTGTGTGTGTTTCAGACCTGCTGGATGGTGGCATCTGGGTTGAGGACAAGAGCCCCCCGAGCTCCTTCCAGTCCCCCTATCTCAAAGAATAGAAGGTCTTTGCCTCCCACCCTCCCTTAGCCCCAGCTGCAGCAGGGAGGACAAGCCAGCACCCACTGGCTGTCTGGGGTGACCCTGCCCCACCCCTTTCGTAGGCATCCCCCTTAACTCCACTTACCCTTGGACACCTTTCTTAGGGGGCTTGCTCTTGAACTGCCTGGTTTGCCGCTGCTTGAATTTTGGGGGTCCTTTCCTGGGAGTAACAGGTCCCCCAGTCACCCTGGTGGCTGACCGGATCTCCGCCTTGGGTGGCTCCAAGTTCATGGCCAGGCTGGTGGGGATGCTGCGATGACTGTAGGCTTCAGAACTCCCTCACACAGAGGCTGGAGAAGACCAGGTGAGAGTCCCATCAGCGCTCCTTCCTGATTCACCTGAGGCTGCTTCTGGGAGGTGACTGGGGCTCTCATCTCCACGACCCAAGGCTTGAGCCCTCCCTCAGCCTGACCGGGCAGCAACCCTACCAAGGGGCAGCCTCCTGTTGCCACTTGGACCCCAGCACTCTCCTTTCCCCCACTGCCCTTTCCTAAGAAACAGCCTGACCTCCGGCCCCTCAGAAGCTCGGATACTCCTCCTGCCCCCGCCCTCCCTGGTCCCCCTCACGTTTAATCCCTGCTACCTCCCTCTGGGGGACTGCCAACCTCCTGTGCAGGCCTGAACCTGCCACTCTCCAGGTCCACCTTCTGCCCTGTGTTCTCACCCCACCCCCTGAGACTGGGGATCCAAGCCTCTGGGGCTTCCTGCAGGGCAGAATCAGAGGCCTGCCCAGCCTCCAGGGCCAGCTTGGCCTCATGTCCCGTTGCCCCGCAGGGCCTCACCCCTCCCGCCCCCCAGCTTGCCCCTGTACTTGACCAGCCTTCCTGAAGGGCAGGCTCTGTACTCTCGGCTCTAACCAGTCTTCCTCCGAGAGGCCTCCCCGCCCCAAGGCCACGGTGCCCAAGGCTGTGACTGCAGCCCAAATTGCTCAAGTCACCTGGTCTACCAGCACAGCCGAGGCCGCTGGTGGGTTTACTGCTCTGATGTTTACTTGTCCCTGTGGCACCTATGTGCCAAGGGCCTAGCCACTGCCTGTCCCCTCACAAGGAACCCCAGGCTAAGCACCATGTGGGTACCCAGTGGTGCTGATGATGGGTATAGGTACCTGGCGGGGGTGCCCTCCACGTGCTGGGGGGTTGCCTCATCCTCACAATCCCATTTCACAGGGAGAAACTGAGGCTGAGAGGGTGGGAGGAGGCTTGAGGTGCTGAGTGCCCCAGGGTCCCCTCTGCTAGATGTGTCCAGCTGTGTTTCTGGGCTCTGGGCACCGTGTCTCCCTGCTGGGGACCACTGAGTGGTCCCAGCCTCCTGCTGACAAGGTCAGCGTCCTAACACCTCCTACACAGAGACCTCTCCTCCTCCTCTCCCCAGGTGTCCAAAGCCCGGCAACCTTGCCCAAGGGCAGCTCAGCTTCCGCTAAGCCCATTAGCACCAGTGGGGGACTCCTAATACCCCAAGGGCCGCTGGGAGCCTACAGGCTGCCAGAAGGTTCTAGAGTAAACACAGGACACGG